GAGGTGAAAGGATTCTAAATTCAAGTCTTAGCCATTTAAATGAGATTGTCTCAAAATTCTGAAAAATGAAAAGGTCCGGGGAAGGCCAGCAAGATAGTTCAGCAGACTAAGCGCCTGCGCAGGACCAGGGGTCAATCTCTGGCAACACATGCTGTGCCAGCCCTGCTCCCAGGCATGCTGAGCCTGCCACTAAGTCCAGGCCTAGTTAGTGCACACCTGTAATCCCAGTGCTGGGGATGCTGAAAACAGGAGGATCACTAGGAGTCCAAGCTGCATAGTGAAACCCCATACCAAATACATTTAAAAAAAAAAAAAAAAAGAAAGAAAAGGTCTGAGGATTAACTCAGTGTAAAGGCACTGAGTTCAATCCCCAGTACTACTAAAACAAAGAAGCAAAAAACAAGAACAAACATCAATAGCCCCCTACTTCCTACCAGTCTACACCAGCTATGGTGAACCTTTTAAAGCTTTCCGTACACAACAGCCTACCATGGCATGGGTGCTGTAGGACCACTGCTCTAACACTTTGCTGTAGCCTTCTAAGAATCAGCCCACAGCTGCCTCTCTTTTGCTTGCTTCCTTGCATTACTGTTCCAATTGTCAAGTCTATGAACATGTCAAGCAGTCTTTGCTTCCCTATGCCATCACGCCTGTTGTGCCTTCAGCCAGGGCTACCTTTTCCTGCTAGCTCCTATGCTGGGGGGTGGATGCTGGGTCTTCTATATGCTAAGCATGTACTCTACCACTGAGCTGTCCCTCAGCCTCTCCACTTGTCTTGGCCCTTTTTGCAACTCCACACGGCCCATCTTAAATGCTTCACCAACACATCACATTAACAATTTAGCATGTACATTATCAAGTCTCTCAACCGCAGCACACTTATAGGCGGGTACCAAACCATTCTCACTGCTCCATAACCCACCACCTAGCTCAACACCTCACACTTGGTGTGGATGGGTACATTTATGCTTATCCTGGAAGGAACAAAGTTTCAAGTAAACATAACAAAGACAAGAAAACATCCTATTTTTCAGTTATCACAAATAACATTCATTTACATTTGTAATGCATAAGAACCAAAAGGCTCATATCAGTTTTGCATACTATTTCTAACATTAAGTCCAATCTAAGGCAAAATAGTAAGAATTTCAAGAGGAAGATAATTTAATGTAAAACCATGACCAGGTAACTCAAAACTACCTTGCAGCATAGTGAGTCCCTGTCTAAAAAAATAAATAAATAAAAAGTACCTTGTACAATAATTTACACCCCTTGAAAAGATTTAATACACATCTCCCACTTGCTTCCTCAATAAATTTAAGAACAAAGTATAAACCTCCATTCTTCAACACACAACAAATCAAGGTTCAATTGAGGGTTGGGGAGATAGCTCAGTTGAATAAGCGCTTGCCTGGCAAGCGCAGTGTCCTGAGTTCAATCCCCAGTGCTGCAGAAAAAAGAAAAAAAAGGTTCAGTTGGTAACAGCAGATTCTCAAATTCATCCTCCAATTTTGAAGGTTGGCTTTCTTTTTATAAATCTGCACTGTCCCCAAATTTGTTTCTTTGCTAAGAGGTTTTTAGGAGCTAGTTTAATATCTGTTTCTGAACCTGTTAGTGATATTAGAAAATGAAGGTAACACACTGCTTAAAACAGTTTTGGTAAAAGTTCAGGACTAAAATTGTTTTTATGTTTCATATCAGACCCTGGTAATATTTTTCTTCCTGTTTTTCCATTATAAGTAACAACATAAATTCACTACTATACATTTTGGCTACAACAGTTTGCATCCCCGACAAGCGTGAAGCCATGCCAGGTCTTGTTTCCTGCATACTTCTCACCCCTTACCTGGAATGCTTTTCTCCAACTATGTATTTTTTTTTACTTGCTCCCTCTTCTTTCAGTTATTTCAAATGCCAACTTCCTAACCATTCTCTTCCTAGACACGCAATATAAAACAGCACAGCTGCCTCGTGGCCCATCCTGGGCTTGCATTCCCATCCCCTTTCCCTTGCCTTACTGTTTTCAACTGCCCTTTTTTGCTACCACATTCACCCTTTAAATTGTCTGTCCTAGGACCGGCCAGGTAGCTCAGTGGATTAAAGTGCCTGCTTAGGCAGGCACAGAGACCCAGGGCGCACTGAGACAGCAACTGAGACCAGTCTTGGTGGTGCGCGCCTGTAATTCCAGCACTTGGAAGGCTGGAAACAGGAGGATCATTCCAAATCTGATCTGTGTAGCGAGGTCCTATAGACCCTGTACTAAATACATTTAAAAAAATTATCTTTCTCAGACAATTAAACGTCTGCTTTGTTTTGTTTGAAGCTGTGTCCCAAGTACTATGTCTTATCTGGCATCTAAGTGCTTCAAAAATATCTTTTGGAAGAACATCTGACATAACAGCTTTGTGGGGAGAAAAAAAGGAGTTACCGTCCCCAATCTTTTCTAACTAAGCCCCATCCCTCTACCCCCAAACTATAACCAAGCTTATTCCAAGAAATTATAATTTGGTAAGCATCTCTCTAAATTGTGATGACCAGTCTCAAAACTTACCCTTAGTAAATAGAATTTCAGGATCACAAAGCCCTGAAAAATACTCCTTAGATCTTCCTCTAGGAGGCAGCACAATGATTTGACCATGCTACATAATGATTTTTTTGAAATACAGACTATGAAGATTCAGGTGGGAACAGTGGTCCAAGCCTTCAATCTTAGCATCTTGGGAGGTGGAGGCAGGGAGTAGAAAGTTCAAGCCCAACCTGGGTAACTTAAGACTCTGTCTCAAAATTTAAAAAAAGAAAAGAAAAAGGGCTATAGATGTGAAGGTCATAAATTCTATCCCCTAGGGGCCGGGAAAACGGCTCGGTAGAATAAGCGCTTGCCTGGCAAGCACAAGGGCCTAAGTTCAAAACCCCAGTTCCATAAAAAAAAAGAAAGAAATAATAAATTCCATCCCCAACACACACAACAAAAAAGGCAGCACATTCTTAGAGCTGCCCCTGCAAAGTGAAAGACGACAGCCAAGGCTCTGCATCCTAGGTGATGTGGAGCTAGTGAGCTTAGCTGGGCTCCTACTTGGATAGTCAGCAGGTGCGTTCCAGAAGTCAGACACATATCGGATCTCTGTTCAGATCCAACTACACTGCTCAACAGCTACATGGAACCAACTGAAAACTTTTCAGCATCCATTTCTGACCTGTAAAATGGAGGTAACATTTCCAAGTAATTTGCAAGATTGTTGTATGGCCAACACAAGTATCTAGCACGTAACATTTACTCAAAAGACAACAGCTATTAAGTCTGTTTTTTGAAATCCCTGAGGTTCCTGGTGGGTTGGGGATGAACCCATTTCTTTCCTAAAACCTTTGACTCTCCAATTCTTGTGGATCAAATTTTCAAAAACATAAACTTCTGTTTAACTCAATAAGGTATACCAGGACTGGCCAGACAGCTCAGGGGATTAAAGCACTTGCATAGGCAGCCACATGGGCCAAGGGTTTGGTCCCCAGCCTGCCATGCCTGGCCCTGGCCCTGCCCCTGGGGCATGCTGAGTCCATGATTGAGACTGGGCATGGTGGTGTACACCTGTAATCCCAGCACTTGGGAGGCTGAAAACAGGAGGTTCACTACAAGTCCGATCTACATAGTGAGACCCTGTAGACCCTGTACTAAACACATTAAAAAATAATGTATATTATATTATTCTTAGATTTCATATGAAGACCAAATAGGGCAGGGAGGGGGGTAACCCAATTGTAGGGCACTTAAAAGGACTTGGGTTCAATCCACACCACACACCACATGAACACACAAAAAAGGGCCCGAGTTCAAAGAAGGAAAAACAAGGTATTAGAATGGATGCTTGAAAGGACTTCACTCAGGATAAATCCTGAGGGCATTTCACTGACCTTCTCAAACCAAAAAGCTACAACTCTTGTTGCATAGGTTCTGCTTTACCTTGGTCTTAACCATCCA